TGAGGCAGTCTTTTTGCATGTCTGTCTGCACGACGGTCCCTTAGCCCATGCATGGATGTGTCCATGACACAGACCACGGCTGCTATCTATGTACATCACATTTGCGCCATCACTGTGTCTTTCCTATGCCATTCACCGGCGACAGTTCTCGTGCAATAATCGCATCCAGCAGGGGTATCCTGACAGGCACAGGCATACAACAAACCGCATCAATGGCTGCATTCATGTCTACCACCGCTGAATGTCCCCCCCGCTCTCACCTGATTGGCACTTTGCTGGCGTAGTCGATGTACTGCTGCCCAAAGAAGGCCCGCAGGCTTCGCTCCTCATTCCGAATTCGGTCGCGGAAGAAGCGCCACGCCACTATTGTGAACACCACAAAGCACCCGCCGTTGAGCAGCATCAACTGACTGCCTGACACATGACACACACAGACAAACGGAAATGGACGTCAGACGCTCGAGAAGAAACGCACATTTTTGATTGGCGCACCGGCGCTCCACATGAACCACCCCAGGTAGGCGGGGTGTCGGCACCATCCGTACACGCCGTGAGTGACCAGCACATGCCCCTCTACCCTCTCAGTTGCCACCTGATGGGTGAAGTGCCGCCGCGCTGTGACGAACGCCAGCCATCGCAGGACAAGGCCACTCATACACACGAAGGCGCCAAACACAGACACAGCCGAGAGCGCCAAATCGGCGGATTTGCTCGAGGGAGGAGACCACAGCCGACTGACAATCGCCTGTCGGCCGTAATACTCGGCCGCTGCGGTGGCCATTGCGATGACATAGGATGTGCCGTTGTTGAGGAGGAACGAGTCGTAGGAAAGGGCGGCTGGGTGGACGAGAGCCACGAAGAGATACTCGACGAAGTGAAAGGCCACTAAGGAGAGCAGAAAGAGGGACTCGGGATATAACGTGGCAAAGATGGCGGGATGGACGTAATAGCCAAAGAAAGCACCCAATAAACCACACACAACCTGACACACACACAGCAATCATCATTGTGACCTCTGCGCAGCCGGAGTCACCCCTCGTTTGCGTACCAGGCACACAGTCGGCGTCCATCGGCTGCCCACCGCCTCATAAGGCACCGACCCGCCGCACACGAGCATCAACCAGAAGGCGCCAGATGCCATCCACTGGCAGCCGTGAACATTACTGTCCGGTGCGAAGGACAACAGCACAGAGATGAGTGCCCAGCTGGAGAGGAAAACCGTGACGCTGTCGAGCGCCACTGCCAGTAATGAGATGCCATGGAGGGTGTGAAGGGCTGAATGCATCACGACAGACAGATCAGACAGATAGATTTATTGGCGTCGTGGACTCGTGGAGCTATAGGGTGTCGCCTGCGCTTGGAGTCCACGTCGTTCTTGCAGATGTTGATGAGTTCTCCCTCTGGCTGGTCTGCAGGGTTTTAAACCCTTCACCCTACAAACCCTTTCGCGGAACAGTTCATATTATTCGCCTGTTTCCTTCTGCATTGTGTCCCTCCTCCGTGTTGCGCTGCCCGTCGGCGAGGCCGCTGCTGCAAGAGATTTCCCCCTTGCAGCAGTTACCTCTCCACGAGCGGTGCAACAAAAGGAGGGCGAGCAAGACGCAGTCGTGTTGCATGTGCCATTGCAACAGTGCTGTCTGTCTCAGTGAGTCTAATCGACTCATACGTATGTACACGTGTATGTATGTATGTATGCATGTGTGTGTGTGTGTATGTATGTGTGTATGTATGTATGTCAAAACCTCACTCACACATCATTCATCCATCCATCCAGAAGGCCCGCTTGCCTCCCCCATTCTCTCTCTCACACAAACACGTCCACGGAATACACACACCTCAATGAATCCATCAGGCAGGGACGCAGGCAGACATCTGTCAACCAGTAGATAGAGGAGCAGCATCATCTGCACGGCAGAGAGAGGCATGCAGATAGGCCATAGACGGGTGTGGTGCGGTGACAGCGGATGGATTCGGTCGTCGGGAAAACGCCCACGACAGGTCCACCCACGGCCGGCTAGAGAGCTATGGACAGAGATTCTATGCGTCATGTATTTATGCATGTAAGAATGTAGGGACGGGTGTGTGTGTGTGACACAAGGGCAGGTGCACACGGCCATCGGGCGAATCCGGCTGGCCACTTGGACGCGATATGCCCGCCCAGTCAGTCAGCAACCCACACGTGTGCACGTCTCTCCTTTTGGCCGGCGGGGCAGCTGGACACATTCATAGACACAGTAGACATTCACGCATCTACGCACCACGAAAGGACCCAACTGTGTTGTCTATATCCCTCCCTGCTCCCCATCGCCCCCCAGCTGACCCGCCGGATCCCCCTCTGCATCATCCTCTCCATCGCTATCGCTACCGCCGCTGGCGTCGGTGTCCACATCGTCGACACCATCGCCCTCTTGCTGACCCGCCGCCTGCATGGCCGCCTGCACGGCCTGCAATCGCTGCGCGTCGACACGACCCGGGAAGTGGGCGGCGAGAATCCCAATTGACTGCATAAAGGGCGCAGAGTGGATTGGCGTCTTTTGCTGACCCACCACACTGTGTGTCTGCGTCCCTGGTTCCCATGGGTGCATTAGTGGTCACCAGCGTTGCGATGCCCATGTGGTTGTGTGTCTGCAGCTCGGCCACCTTATCCACACCGCCGGCCTGCACACGTGAAAGAGCGAAGCCGCCGCACGGTGTCGGGTTCCCTCCTCTATCTTGTTCACTCACCTGCTCTAGTAGTGCGCAGTAGGGGTTGTCGGGGAGACCCTCGTTGGCCTCCTTCTGACGACCCGCACTGCACACACGAGGGCAACACACAACTGGTAGCTAAGTCAGAGGGACATGTGTGAGTGTGTGTGTGTGTGTGTGTGACCTACCTGAGTATCTGTAGCAGCACAGTGAGCGTGACACCTGTGGAGATGTTGTGGCTCTGGTTGTTGCCGCTATCGAGCAGGTCACAGAGGGGCTGGATGCCGCCACACTCAACCACATACTCGACCTGCACATTTGAACAAATGATCGACACACATCAATCTGCCTGACTGCCGTGTCAGTTACCTGTTGCGGCGATCCTCGGGCGACAATGTCTCGATGGTTCTTGCTGCCGTCTGCTTCTGCTGCACATGAGTTTCTCCCCTGGCCGCCGCGCGGACGAGTAGAGGCACGAGTCCACCATCGATGACCGCCTGTCGGTGCGAAGTGGTGCCTGCAGCCGATCCACAGCAGGTAACAATCTGCACATGACGCGCTTCATGGGCTATGTGTGTGCCTGTCCTACCTCCGGCCAGGAACATCACCAGCAGACATGCGACACCTTTCATTTGGGGCTCAGCCGACTCCAGCAGCGCCTTAATCGATGCAGTGGCGCCACACTCGACCAACGCGTCACGGTCAGCGTCGGTGCCTGTGTAGGACGGAAATACGCAGTGAGCCATCAGCCAATGCTGGTGTTTTGTGCCCTCAGGTTTGCTAACGGACCGTGAGCCTCGATAGACAACATCCCAAAGTGCCCCAGGGCGCCTCGTGCGGATCGCAGCACACTGTCGTCCTGCTCAGGCTTGCTGATGAGGCCGACCAGGACGGGCAGGAAGGGCGCACACTCGGCCAGTGGGACAGGGAGGGGCCGGACGCTCCACAGGTTGATCAGCAGCTCGGCACCCAAGTACAGCACGTCGGCGTCGCTGGTGCTCTCCCGCATCGCCTTCAGCAGCGGCTGCAGGACGCCGGCGGCCAGCACCGCATCGCGACGGGACACCGATTCCGCCGCGACCTTGTCGAGCGCCCCGATGGCCCCCAGGCGCACGTAGTCATCGGATGACGACACCAGCTGCACGAGCGGCTGGATGGCACCCGCGTCCACCACCAAATCGCCATTGCGCATCGCGAGCACGCTGATGGCCCATGCTGCTGGTCCCTGCGTCTCCGAGCACCTCAGCTGCTCCACCAACACAGGCACCGCATCCGCATTGACGGCCTTGCGATCCATTGTGCCATCCATGTGCTCGACACACAGCAACTGGAGCAGCTGCCGTATGACGTCAGTACGCTTAAGCTGCGGATCACTGGCCGACGCCATCAGGTGGCAGAGGTCGGTCATGACGGCGGTGATCTCGGCCTCGACCGCCTCCGACCCTCGCTGCTGCACTGTTTTGTCGTAGGCCTCTTGCGTGCCGATGGCATCAAACAGCTTGCCCGCCTTGGCCAGCACTGCCTGGGGTGAGGGATGGTCAGCTGGGGTGCTGGCGGCATCGGCTGTGCTGTCCGCCATGATTCACGGCTGCGAGGACCAACACGCGCACACAGAGTGCAGGGTGGTTCCATGGCTGCTGTCGTTGTCCCTTCTCACCTGTTGTGCTCGTCAATGGCTGCCCCCAAATCGGGGGCGAGTAAATGACTCACGACTGCTCTTTGCCGTTCTTCTGACCTGGTCAGTGCTCGGCTTCCCTTCGCTTCGGTGCTGAATGGTCCCGCTGCCGCACTGCTCTCCGGTGAAGATCTCACAGCTCACCTGCAGAATCAAAGACGCCACGAAATGTGATAGATCAGGGCTGCCCGTGGATGCCTTCTGGTCCCCGCTAATGGCTGCTCACTCACCGATCAGAGATCTCCTCCGACAAGCCAGATGGACGCAGCCCGACAGCAGGCGAGGCACTCAACGGCAAAAGAGGATACAACACGCCTCTGCAGAGGTCTGGCCGCTCACAGGAAGGCAACCTTCCACGGGGCCTTCTCCCCCCTTTCAAGCTCGCGTCCATTCGATCATAGGACTGTAATTCGCCTTTTCACCGCTTGTGACGCCCTCCAGAGAGCAGCAGGAGCCCCATCAGACATAAACTGATGGTTGGAACTCATCGCTGTGACGCAAGGCTGTGATGGTGCGGCGAGCAGGACAATAAACGAGCGGGAATGCGGATGATCATGATCAGTCAAGAGGTGCTCTGTGTTCTGTTGCTCTGACCAACAGGATGGTAGCATGACATGGCTGGCTGGCTGTGTGTGTGTGTCAATGCCTCCGGTGGGCGGGGCTGTGGGTCGCTCTCCCCTCCCCTCCCCTCTGTGTGTGGCGAGTCGCTGTCTATCTCTCTGCCTGTGTGCTGTCGATATGTATTGGCCTGGCTGGGTGGACGGACGTCCTGACAGACAGACAGGGTGCATGTGTCTGTGTCTGGCAAAAGCTGCACACTGCACTGCAGTTCGGACGACAGTCGTGTGCAGCACATCCATCTGATCTGGAGGAAACACATCCATACATACAAATGTACGTACAGTATCGATCTGTGTACGTCTGTCTTCCTCTCTGGGGAATAAGGAGACACTGGGCAGGCATACACATACACATACACATACTCACACCGACGCACATGATGTGGCCCGTCCGTCTGTCTGTCTATTCCCCTTCCCCCTCCTCCCAACTAGCGCCCTGCAAATGGCCGTCCCCATTGCTATCGCTGCTTTCGTCGACACCATCGCCAGCTCACTCCGTATCGCTTGCATCCGCGAGCTAGACATACACACCCGCATCCACCCACAAATCAATCATCCGCCCCCACGTTTGTCTCCTCTTCAGCGGCCTGCAATATATGCTGCTGATAGAGGGCCTCCACTCGCTGCTCGTCCACGCGAGCTGGGAAGTGGCCGACGAGAATCAAGAGTGCCTGAATGAACCAACAACAGACACACACCCATTGTGTCTGCATCCCTGCTCGCCATGCGTGCCTTGCTGGATCGGTGGTCACCTGCGCTGCGATGCCCATGTGGTTGTGTGTCTGCAGGTCGGCTACCTTGTCCACGCCGCCGGCCTGTGAAGTCAAACAGCCATGCCTGTGTGTCGGTTGTGGCTCCTCTTCTCCCTGTATCACCTGTGCCACTTGTGTGTAGTAGGGATTGTTCGGGAGACCCTCGTTGGCCTGCTTCTGACGACCCGCACTGATACCACACCCAGGCAACGCACATACGGTACAAGTGACTGGTGGGTCCTCTGTGTGTTACTCTAGTATGCTGTTCAGCAAAGAGAGCTTGATGCCTAGGTGCTCGGGTGACTGGCTGGGATGGAGCAGGTTACACAGGGGCTGGATGCCGCCACACTCAACCACATACTCAGTCTAAGGATACAAACACACACACGTGTGTGTGTGATGTGTGTTGGATCGCCGGCTGGCTGCCATACGCACCTGTTGCTGTGATCCGCCGGCTATGTCTCCAATGGCATGTAGTGCCATCCCCCTGACGGTGACATCGATGTCCCCCCCGTTTGAATTGAATCACAAATTGTTGCAGCGCCCCTCGTGCGCATTGCAGCACATTGTCGTCCTGCTGCGGCGCGGCGATGAGACCGACCAGCACCGGCAGGAAGGGCACCAACTCGGCCAGTGGGACAGGGTGGGGCGAGTTCTCGGAGACACTCAACAGATAGCACAGCAGGTAGGCACCCCCGGTCAGCACGTCAACGTTGCTGCTCTCGCGCATCACTTTCAGCAGCGGCTCCAGGATACCCGCGGCCAGCACCGCATCGCGACGGGTTGATGAGTTGACCGTGGCGACGCACAGCGCCTCGATGGCCGCCACGCGCATGACGTCATCGGGTGACGACACGAGCTGCACCAGGGGCGGGATGGCACCTGCATTGGCCACCGCCGCCGCACCGGCCTGATGCCTCGCCAGCATGCAGAGGGCCCATGTTGCTGGTTTCTCCACCGCCTCGCACCCGCTCAGCTGCTCGACCAACACAGGCGCCACACCCGCATCGATGGCCTTCTGCTCGATTGTGACAGCCATATGCTCGATGAGGAGCAGCTGGAGCAGCTCTGCAATGGCGCCGATGCGAAGCTGCGGATCGCTGGCCGAGGCTATCAGGTCGCAGATGTCGGTCATGACGGCGATGATCTCGGTCTCAAGCGCCTCCGATCCTCGCTGCTGCACTGACTGGTCGTAAGCCCCTTGCGTGCCGATGGCATCGAACAGCTTTCCCGCCTTGGCCAGCCCTGCCTGGAGTGAGGGATGTTGTGAGGGATGCTCAGCTGGGGTGCTGGCGGCATCGGCTGTGCTGCCTGCCGACATTGCCTCACAGCTGCAAAGACCAACACACACCCACACGATGCGGAATGTTCTCATGCCCGCTTCCTCCTGACCTGTCCACGTCCGCAATGCTACACTGCTCGTCCAGATCTCACGACCCACACCTGAACTGAGAACCAGCGAGAGAACGGACACCTGATGAAACGAAATGGGATAGATCTGCAGCAGCGATGCTTTCAGTCACCGTCGTGTGTGCAGACTGTGATGCTGGAGGCTCGCGGAACCGACGAAACGCCCAAGGAGGGCAGTGGGATGCGCGCCGAAGATGATCGAATGAATGCCTTTTACGCTTCTTTCTGGATATGTGGCTGCAGATCTTGACCTACAGTGCTTCAACAGCCACTGAGAGATCTTCTCGTCAAGCTTCGAGCAGAAAAGCGGTTGACGACGACTGACGGACTCATCTGCTGATGGCGGGTTGCGGCGATGGGGGAGATGGTGACGTCCGTATGCCGCCGGCTGTCAACGAAAGGCTCGCCATCTCTCACTACTTCGAGATCGAGAACATTGGTCATGAGGCGGACAGCCGAGTCATCCTATCGCTCTTCGGCGGCTGCACATTGGTGACGGAGCCTCTCACTCATTTGGCGGGGCGTCTGCCGGCCGCCATTGAGCGATGCCGAGAGGAAGGGGAAGAGGAGAGGGAGAGGGAGGGCGGCCACGTGTGTGGCTACACTGTGGATGAGTCCAAGGGCCCGGCCTTCATCCATCGCACTGCGACGGTCTTCCCTGCGGCTCACATCGAGGGACCATGCTACATCGGACCAAATGTAAGTGACCGAGTGCACTGACCGGTATGCTTCATGCTCATGTGTGTGTGTTTCTCTGGTGTGCAGGCGACAGTGGGTCATGGTGCGTACGTCCGGAGCCACACGGTCATGTGTGAGCACGCCATCGTGGGCCACTCGAGCGAGTGCAAGCACTCCATTTTGCTGCCCCACGCACACGCACCGCACTTCAACTACGTCGGCGGCTCGATCATCGGCTCGCGTGTCAACCTGGGTGCGGGCACCAAGCTCTCCAACCTGCCCATGATGAGCCTCGAGGACATCAACACACAACAACAGCAGCACACGACAGCTGCTGACGTCAGGACAGTCACGATCAGCATCAAGCCATCGGCGGGAGAGGATTGTGACTATGTGTTCGACACATCGCTGGTGAAGATGGGCGCCGTACTGGGCGACGGCGTGCAGACGGGCTGCAATGTGGTGTGCAACCCGGGTGTGTGTGTGGGGCGGGGGACGCTGGTGTATGGTGGAGTGTGTCTGCGGGGCGGATACTATGCCCCCAGACAGATTGTCAAGCTGAGACAGGAAATAGAGATCAGCCAGAGGT